GATAGGGGTGTGTGGGCTGGGGATTTGGTCTCCTTGAGGCAGGTCATGATTGGTGCATTTTCTTTTGAAAATGAACACCAACAATAAAATTAAAAAAAAAAAAAGTCTGCTTTTTAATTTTCACTGTCCCTGTGCAATTCTAAATAATATCAGTGATGAAATACTTCTCTTTTCTGGAGTGGGCCCCTCTCCCCACTGCTTGGTATACTACTGAAGCTAGAGTCAGTAGATGTGGTTTTGTGTCCTAGCCCAGCTCTCAGGGCTGGCTCCCTGGCCCAACCACCAAGTTTCTTCCCTAAGCTTCTGTTTCCTTTTCTGTGAAATGGAACTATGAAGGAGACCTTCAAATATTAAAAGAGAAAATAAATATAAAATTAGCTTATAAAGAGAAAAGCTGGATATCAATGTTGTGGTATCCACATTGCTGTATAAAATCTAAATGGTGTGAGATCTGGGTCACGTTCAGGATGTTCTTCTTTGGCAGTGAAGAATTTGGGGGTGATCGAGCCGGGCTCTTCATGAAATTGAGAAGCTGGTGTTGGAGAGATAACATGGTTTTCAGCACCGAGAGACTGTTCTAGGTTTATGCCTTTTCATCTGATTCCTGGGCAGACAATAGGACATCCTTGTGGAGTACCACCCTGGGCCCTGCTGAGTTGCTGAACGAGGCCCATCTGTCTCGCTCTTTATGCAGGCTCCTCCATCTTTCTGGGGTGCTGAGTGAGTGAGGAACTGAGTCCTCTGGCTGGGAAGAGGGGTGTGTTCCTGACTTAATTACAGGAGAGTGTGCTTGCAGAATTATGGAGGCTAGTTTGTGTCTGGTGGATTGCATGTCTGTCACTAAACCATGCTACGTGACTTCAATCCAGCCCCAGGCTCAGAGTCACACACACGCACACGCACGCAGACACACACACACACACACACTCTGCCCCATGCCTCCTGCCCTTCTACAGTGCTAGATGATAAAGTCCTTTCTCAGGCACCATTTATGACTTCTCTTGTGACATGGCCAGGCCAAGGTTTCTCACCCCTGCTTGACAAGGGAGGAAATTGAAGCCCAGGGAGTTGAGCTGTCTCAGGTCGGTGGTAGGGCTCTGACTAGAACCCACATGGAGAATAAAGGGAAAGTCTTTACTTCTGTTCAGTTTGTCATGGACTCTTTGGAGTTTTCTGACTGAAGCTTTCTGAGGTGAGACCTCAGGGGGCAGGTGGAGAAACACAAACCAAGAAGGCAGTGCCTTGCCCAAGCCCATGAGGCTCTGATGGCAGGAGCAGGAGACTGCCGGCCCTTTGCAGCGTGAGACCATGGGTTGGGTATTGACTGCAATGTTGCAGGGGAGGGGAAGGGGGAGGCAGGAGGATTGGAATATGCATGCTTTGCACGTGTGTGTCAATGTTTCAGCTTTCCCAGAATTTCTGATTTAATATGGGTAATGATTTTCATTAGAGATTGGCTAATAAGTGGCTCCTCTCTGTTCTCTCTCTGGATGGCACCCCGGGTGGCTCTGTCCTAACCTAACCTGGCCTAGAGAGGCCCTCACTGCCTACCCTTTGCCCTCATAGCCTAGCTGGGCAACTTCTGTGCTGTGTGGCCTGAACCCCTGGCTTTGGAACATCCAAATGGACAGATGAGGGCCCATCCATGAGTCAACAGAGCATAACAGAGAGGCATCTCTGCTCTGATTTTTTTTTTTACACCCCCACTCTGATTTTTGCATTTGCTGTGGATACAGTGACCAGGGTGAGCCTGAATGTAAACTTCTACTCCTGGTACCCCCAAAGCCTAGGGTCATCTTCTGTCTTGATTTGGAGCAGTTCAGCACCAGACCTGTCAGACAGAAATGGCCCTAGTGGGAGAGACAACACTCCTCTCCCTCCCTCCCGTACTCCCCATCCTCCTTCCCTTGAATGTCAGATCAAAGAACCAAGGGAGAGGGTAATGAATACTGAAAAGGACAAGGAATAAAATGAGTAATAGCAGTACGGGTTCTTCTTCCGTAAAATGCAGAGAATCAGAAGACTGTGGTAAGTGGGTTTCTCAGCCCCCGCCTGCACCAGTCACCTGGGAGGTTTTTAAATATCTCAGTTCCCAGACGGCAGCCCTCCCAGACCCAGGAGATGGGAATCTCTGGGGATGAGACCCAGGCAGCCAGTTTTGGAATCCCCTGGGTAATTCCCGTGTACAGCCAGTTGAGAACCACTCCTCGAAGGGTCAAGAGAGTTGGTTAACTGCTTAGGACAAAGATATCCCTGCATCTAGCTATGCACTAGAATCATGAGGAGGACTTTAAAAATGACACCGACTCCCTGGCCACACACTGCTGACCATGTAGATCAGTGACTTCCATGGTGCCTCTAGCTTGACCTTCAGAGGAGCAGTAAACTGGTAACAGTTAGAAGAGCTATCATCCATTAGACCTGACTGTGGGCCAGCATCGCAGATATTTCCAGTCACCACGAGTCCCTAGTAGGAAGTCATGATTCCCATTTTACAGGTGAGGAAACTGATGCTCAGAGCAGGTAGCCACTTGCCCCAGGGGACAGCGTAAGTTTCCTGAGTCCAGGCCTGTCTGTGCTGGAGTGCTGCTTTTGCTGCCCAAACCTCTCAGCCTAGGGGCTGGCCCTCATGGAGCTATTCTCCCCTCTTTCCAGTAATGGTCTACCAAGAAGGGCATCAGTGGCCTAAGCTCTCCTTGGGCTCCCCTTGGACTCCCGAGGCAGGTTGAATGGAGGACCCCTCCCCCAGGAAGAGAGGGGAGATGAGTGGTGGTGTTTGGTGTTTGGCTTCATTATTCACCCACTCTCAAAATACCTGCTTTTGGTGGGAGGAAATGGCCTGTATATTAGGACTGACCCCCCCAGTCACCTCTCATGGCCATAGTTGCTCTCAACAAGGAGAAAACTCAACCAGGAAAAGCAGACACTCATTTGCTTTTTTTGAGATTTTGAGGAATTTTTAAGTCATGTCATACAGAAAAATGCCTCTGTTTCCCTCATAAGTCAAAGAGGGGGAACTTTCTCAAGGTGACTTAGAAATATTTCTCTCAGCTTTACAAAAATTCTGTACCTCCACATCTATGTTCTGTGAGCTTAAACAAAATGCTTAAAATCCTTAAGCTTTGGTTTCCCCATCAGTCAGCTGGAAGGAGTGAGCCCTGTCTGCCCGGAAGGCTGCTGACGCCAGGCCCCTGAGATGTCTGAGAAAAGAAAAACATGGCCGTCCTGACATTGAGATTTACAGTTGCCTGGGACTGGAAGCTTTGTCAGGTGTTTGCTGCCTCCAACTGAGGGACCCAGTGTCCCTGAGGCCCAAAGTAGCTCCAGGGGACCAGCTGTGTTAGAGATCTCACATATAAGGGTCCCTGCCCCTTATTCTTTCGCACACGGCCTGGCACAGAGCAGACACTCAGGCAGCACTGAGTGAATGGAGGATGAGGGGATGGAGAGTTACGGGAATATGTGTCTGGTGACGTCTCTAAGGTGGTTGCCATAGAATGCTATTTAAGTGTTGGCATATCTATTCCTTGCTTGCTCTACTTGACTTTTTTTTTTTTCCACTTAGGTTTATTTTGACGGTTCTCTCACTGAGAATTATTCTAGGAATGGAGTGGTTCAGATGTGATGCTATTTTCTGAGGTTGAGGCAAATATCTGGAGAATTTCATTGTGCATAACTCTTACCCCAGAGCCACTAAGAGAGTACATCCTGCCTGTGGAGTATGGTGCTCCCTTATTAAGCCATTAAACTGAACCTGAACACTTTCTGAGTTCTGTCTTAAGAAGTGGGTATTGTGGGTGAGAAAACATGGGGCACTTGTGGAAAATGATGGAAGAAGAGTGAGAGGACCCCAGAAGGGGGCGACCCCTGGGTAGTCTCCGGGGACTTAGAGCTGCCCACCTGCCTTGCCCATCTGAACTGAGATGGCAAACAGAAGGCTGCTGCCCTTCCCTGCCCTTGGAGCACTCAGAGAAGCTGGCTCAGGGCCACCTGCCATTGGGAGGGACACCATTTCATGGTTACTGTATTGGTTCCCAGAGCAAAGCATTTCTAGGCTCAAACCTGAAGGGCACTAAGCACGGTCTTGACTTCTATAACTACTTAGTGGCTTTGTGGACAGTGGGATGGGCCCCTGGCTTGGCCATTAACTTTGTGATGACCTCACACTTGTCGCTTGACCTCTCTTACGCATCAGTTTTCTAACACTTTACAACTCTGTGGTCCCATTAGCCCTCTCACCATGGGGAGCTCCCACTTATTGTGTTGGACAATAAGTTAGGCAGTTAGACTGCCTCCATCCACCTGGCCTCCACCAATATCCCACCAACCCAGCCAGCATGTCCTCTGGCCTTGTCCTTACTTTAAGGGCATCACCCTCATCTTGGCTCTGCTCCCTTACTGTAGACCTGCTTTGATCAGGTCATTGAGATTTTATTTGTTGGGAGGAGGTTGGGAACAAAGGTAGAATAAGAATATAGGGAATATGGAGATATCACAGTTATAAATGGATGAATTTGTACTTGTATCCAGATAAGGATGGAAATAAATTAACTGTTACCATTAGTATTTTGACCATGCTGATCTGATCTTTATGTTTTTCCTTTTTAAACTTTACATGACATAATACAAGCTTCTGGACCCTGTGGTTTTACCTAGTGGATACTGGACTCAGGTTCTGAGACTTAGGAACGATGAAGTTATGTCATCCTCATCAAATCAGTAACCTTCCAGGGCCTCAGTGGTCACATCTGTACACTGGGAATGACAATACTAACATTCATTCCTAGTAAAGGTGAAGGATTCGTATGAACAAAAGGGAAGCCCAGGACCCGCCCCATCTCAGCCACGGTTAACAGGCAGGTGAGGATGCTGGCTGGTGGCATGATTTGTCCTACCCTCGCAGCATGATTCTGAATTAGTGTGGCCTGGGGGCTGGCAACTGGGTCAATTCCTGGATGGACATAGTAACAACCAGACTGTGCCGGTCTGTGTCCCCACAGCGGCCAGTTTGCCATTGTGAAGAAGTGCCGAGAGAAAAGCACGGGGCTGGAGTACGCGGCCAAGTTCATAAAAAAGCGGCAGAGCCGGGCCAGCCGGCGGGGAGTGAGCCGGGAAGAAATCGAGCGGGAGGTGAGCATCCTGCGGCAGGTGCTGCATCCCAACGTCATCACGCTGCACGATGTCTTCGAGAACCGCACCGACGTGGTGCTCATCCTGGAGCTGTGAGTGGGTGCCCGGGACCCCTGGTGGGGGCGGGTAGGGTGCTGGATGGTGCAGCCACAGGTCCCAGAGGGCAATAACAAGCGGATGAAGTCAGCGGTGGGTTGTTTCCCTTGGTTACCGTCCCCCCTCCCCCCGCCGCCCTGCAATCTGGGTCAAAGTAGGTGGGTTTGCTGAGTAGTGGGGACAGGGCTAGAGTCTAGGTCTGGCTTTCATTGGACCCTGGGGATAAAAGGGAAGCAGTGGCTGGTGCTGGGGTCATTTCCTGGCTGGAGAGCTTAGGGGAGGACGTGGTTGGGGGGGGGGGCGGGGACGGTGGGGGATGGGGTGTAAGAAGGTGGTGGGAGGGAAGGAGAGGCAGTCTGGGAGGGGTCTTCTCTATGAGGAGGAGAGAAGCAGATATGCTCCAAGCTCCAGAGAGCCCTTCTCCAGCCCTTTCCTGAGGAAAAAATCTCCGCATTTGTGCTGTTTGATGCCTTCATTATCCTAATAATAGCTGGTATTGAGAGCGCCCCACCCCCATGGTAAGCCAACTATTTGTCAGGTACCTCATGTTTGCCGTCTTGTTCAGTCCTCACAGACTCCTGAGGGAAGTGTCCTACTAACCTGGACGGCTTACTTTTTATTCACTGTACTGAGCACTTCTGTTACTTTACTTAATCTCCCTAACAATCTTAGCACACAGAAGCTCTTATTCTTCCCATTTTACAGACAAGAACACTGAGAGGCCAGGTCACTTTTGACCCCAAAGCCAGAAAGAGGAGGGGCCAGGACCTGAGTCCACAGCCTTGTGTGGACAGCTATGAGTGTGAGGTGGAATGGCCTTATGCCAGCCTCGTGGGGGAAGATGTCACAGTCTGGTGATACCAAGACTCCAGGGGTTGACCACCTGGTGTCCCTCCAGAGGTGTGGCCATGGAATGTGGAGATGGAACTCTGGCAGACAACAGAGTTTGAGCTGGACTGTGGCACAATGGCTGTGTCCAGTCAAGCAGCAAGACCCGTGTTGGGAATATTCTGAGCCTCACAGGCATCTATGCATCTGCCGGTTAACAGAGGGGTGGTGGCATTTGTTTTGGTAATCCCTGACTTTGTGACCTTAGGCCAGTCACCTCCCTCCTCTGAGCTTCAGCTCTCATCCATAAATGCAGCAGCCACCCTTCACCTGCCTACAGGTTGGGTGGACCACCTGACATTTGAAATAATTCTAGTTTAAGAGCTAAACCCTTGTATTACCAGGATATAGATTTACATAGCAGATGGCCATTTGCATACTCTTGCATTGGATGCTTAAATTATCCATCTCTCTGTTTAAATGGATAAAATCACTCGTGCTACTCCTTTCTCACTCCAGCGTCCTTTATGTCTCTCCCGTGGTCTTCTCAGCCGGTCACACTAGCTGGCAAATGCCACTGCTGACTCAGCAAGCCTGGGGGTGTCCTGCAGGTGTGGTCAGCCATGTGGACAGCCCGGGGTGTGGCATCCTACGGGGCTTAGGGGAAGCGGTTGGCACACTGGTTCCCAGCAGAGTGAGAAGCCCATCTCTGCTGGGAAGGTGAGGCCACTGCTTTAAAAAACTTTCCAGCAACTGAAAAGAAATTACATTCATAATCCTACCACCCAAACATAGCTATTTATGTTTTTCTGTCATTCCTCTCAGTCTTTATCTGTTTGTATACAATCATTGTACTTGTACAATTTCTTGGTCTGCTTTCCCCCCTCAGTTAGCATAATTTCACAAAAAGGGTTTTTTCTTTTAACTGAGTGTATCATGTCTCATTGAATTACAGACTCGTGTATCTTTATTGTTAGACATTTGGTTTTTATTTCCCAGCTTTTAACCATTACAGATTTTACGGCCATGAAACAACTTTCTTCTCATAATTTCCCACCTTTTTGTTTGTTTCTTTGTTTGTTTGAAATAATCCTTTCGGATCAGTCCCCAGGAAGGGGATCATTTTCATAAAATTAAAGAATTTTATTCTTTAATTGCAGGGGAAATTGCCTGCTTCTCTCTGTTTGTAGAACCCTAGGAGTTGGGGTCTGGGATGCTCTTGAGATGTCTCTGTTTCTCCCAGCAAGGCTCCTGGTCCGTGACAGCTTTGTGCCCTCTTCTAGTGAGCTGTCACTGTCCATACCACCGGTTGTCACCAGCGCGAGCTGCCATGCTTGCTTAGTTCTGTGTACTTACAGTTTCTCTGTCTCCTCCTTTTCTTTCAAGCTGTCTCACTGCTCTCACTGGGGTCTGAGAGGGAGGATCTCCTGACAGAGAAAGGATTTTTGTGGGCTTTTTTGTGGTTGGACTTGGTTGGGCTGTTCAGCAGCCTTTGGCAGCCCGGTCCTCATGGTAACCTAATAGGTCAGTGGGTTTGCCCAGTGCAGGAACATGAGTATTAGTGCCTGCCTGTTCAGTTGAAATGGCAGGTTTTATGGATGGGTCTACCCCAATCCCACTGCCCCTCTCAGCAACTGTGGTCTGGTGCCTGGCACTCTCTGCTTTCTATTGAAGTGACTGGTTCTCGGGGCACCTGGGTGTCTCAGTGGGTTAAAGCCTCTGCCTTTGGCTCAGATCATGATCCCAGGGTCCTGGGAACGAGCCCCACGTCGGGGGTCTCTGCTCAGCGGGGAGCCTGCTTCCTCCTCTCTCTCTGCCTGCTTCTCTGCCTACTTGTGATCTCTGCCTGTCAAATAAATAAATAAATAAAATCTTTAAAAAAAAAAAGTGACTGGTTCTCAGAGGACATGCCCAGCCCCAATTTGAGTCCCTTTTAGCTGTTGTTCCCCCATCCATGACCTCCTTAGCAGCAGCTGCCTCCAGTTAGGACTGTTGAAGGCAAAGATGGGAGGGATTCGGTTTTACCATATAAGCTGACTTCTGTATACCATAAAGAATATTTTCAAAATCTTAGTAGATTAACTCATGTCATATGTGGAGTGTGTTCTGGAAAATGTAAGTCAGCCCTGGGAGGTTGGACAGGCCTTCCATCCAGGCCCCTGATGGCTCTGGTACCTCCCGGATCCCCAGCGAATGGAAAGCAAGACCCGGGCGGTTGCATTGGAGAGAACGACCCGGCAGAGCGCCCCAGCGTGTCGGCAGTGCTTCCCAGTGCCCCAGATTGAGTGCTATTTCCTGGGCCTGAGCAGCTCCAGCAGCATCCTTCCTCAGTCACTGCCCACGCAGGTCATTTTAGCGCACGTTCACAAAACAGTCAGAAAATTGTTTCCAGCAGGCAGAACAACCTGCAAGGAGGGAGATCAACGGACCAGGAAGGGACTGATCCTGGGGATGCTGAGAGGACAGGACAAGAGGCTCAGACTATTAGGTTTTGCTTTTCATCTTTAAGCTAAAGAGCTTTGGGATGTGAGAGGAGAGACCTTTGGGAGGAGACAGGGAGCTCCAGGGAAGAGGTTTGGGGACTGAGAAGCCCTTGTGAAAAGCTGTGTTAAGGGGGAAATGAACAGAACCTTGAGGAGAGCTGCCAGGGCACTGATGTGAGTGTCCCCAGCCTGGGTGTCCAGACTTGGACATTTACCGTGGTGACCTCATCAGTCTTCCACCCTTCCAGGACTCTGAGGGGGAGTCTGAGGACCCCTGTGGCTATTCCCTCCTTTATCCGAAGGAGACCATGGGTTACCCGGTCTTCTGCCCAGATCACACCTTCAAATGGAGTGGCTGATGATTGTCTCCCAAAGTCCTCACCCAGCCTGGGCCTTCACATCAGTGGCTCTGGGTGACAGGACACATCCCCATTATCATGAGATTCTTTCACACTTAGGGAGCTTTCTATTTAAGGTAAGAAGGTTAAGATATGCCCGAGGCAGCAGCCTCACAGAACCCAGCAGGGGCTGGAAGGACAGAAACCAAGGGCCAGCAAGAGGGGACGCTGTAGATTTGAACATTGGCACAGGGCTCCGGACAGGTCTCTTGCCGATGCCACGGTGTCACTTCTGTATGATATGGAATATCCTATATCATGTTGAGAGTTTTAATGCTTTTTCCCCTTTGTTCTTTTATCCACCTACCTTCTATTGAATGCCTTTTTTACACAAGGTGCTGTGGAAGCAAAGATAACGTAGCTGGGGAGAGAGACAGACAGCTAACAATAGTGTGATATGAGGGATCGAATGCGAATGTGGCTGAACAGGGATGTCAGAGGACCGCCCACTACTTGGGGAGGCTTTGAGCTTTCCTCATGGCACTAAGTCAGGCTTTATAATGTGGAGACAGTGTGGTGAGAAAGACATGGTGGACTGGGGCTGAGGAGATCCAGCTCTGAATCCTGGTCTGTGACTTACTGTGTGACGTTGGGCAAGTCTCACTCTCTTGGGGCCTCTGTTTCTCATTTGAAAAATCAGGACAGAAGTTCCATCTACCCCTCTGGGGGGATGTGAGTTTCAAGGGAGAGAATGCTCAGGGGAAGCACAGGTGGCAAACTTTGATTAGACTTGGAGTCAAATGCCCTTCCTCCACTGGCACGCCTGACGATGATATGGTGTGTGGTATTTACTTCCAGGTCTTCACCAACGGTCTCATAGCACTTGTCCAATCCTACAGCAAGATTCCCCACTCCTGGGGGCCATAGGCTGGGTTTTTTTTTCTCATTCCTGTATTTTTTTTTCTTTTTACTCTTTTTTTTTTAATTTGTTTTTTAAAAAATATTTTATTTATTCATTTGACAGAGAGAGAGAGATCACAAGTAGGCAGAGAGGCAGGTAGAGAGAGAAGGGGAAGCAGGCTCCCTCCCTGTTGAGCAGAGAGCCCAATGCGGGGCTCAGTCCCAGGACCCCAAGATCATGACCTGAGCCGAAGGCAGAGGCTTAACCCACTGAGCCGCCCGGGCACCCCATCCTCATTCCTGTTTTGCAAGAAGAAAAGCCAGGCCCAGGGACTCTCCCGTGCCATAACCTCAGGGGAAGGTTGGATCTATGTTAGGGAAGGATTAGGACCACCGTCCTGGCCCTTTGACTGGACTCAGGGTTACTCCTTCAGCAGCTAAGAGGGGACTCCACTTTCCAGCACCTGTCCAGGAGGGGGTAGGGCAGAGAATGGCCTCACCCCCAAGACACATGGAGAAATAGTGCACCAGCCTCATCCCAACACTGAGGCAGCCACCTCGGGCTGTGCCCAGCTGAGGGAGTAGAGGGGCAGCGCGGCTATAGCAGCCGACAAGCTCTCAGGCGTCATCTCACTGGAGCCTCTCTCAGGCTCTCTTCACCCCTTTACCACCACCCCCACTTTCTCTAAATATTGACTCAGCATCTCTTATGCCAGAAAGATGAGGACCTGATCATGGCTCCTGCCCTTGAGAAGCTCACACCCCAGCAGGAACAGGGTCTTCTTTTTGACATTCATCTGTCTGCCAGAAGGAGATATTTTTAACCCCATTTGACAGATGAGAGAAGACTAAGGTGGAGAGTGACGGGCTAGGCAGCCACAGAATCAGTGCGCCAGCAGGCATGCCCCTCACCTCCAAGGCTGGCCAGCACCCAGGGATTTCCTGCCACATACATGCCCTGTACGCATCCCCCCACCCCGCCCCTGTCTCTGGGCCTTTGCTCATTTACCGTACTCCCCCGGCCAGGCCCTCCCCAAGCCTCACTGCATCCCCAGCGCCTTCTCCCACACTAACCACATGTGACAAACAATACCTCATGGCGGAAGCCCTGCTGGTGGAGTGCTGACATATGCTGGTCACTGGGCTGAGTGCCTTCCTTATCGCACCAGCCCATTTGCTCTTCAGAACGAGGTGAGCATGTAGACATCCTCATTACCCCCCAGTCCCTGACAGGCATGGTTGAGAGGGTTAGGGCAGCTCCTCTCCAGCCACATGTTCGTCCGAGGAGATGGTGTTGGACAGTGGCTGGGGCCTGGACATGGCCTTGACCGCACGCTCCCCTGCTGAGAGAACTTGCATGGCCACTTCCCTCCTGTGGGCCTCTGTTTCCTCATCTGTTATGGAGGAACTGCCAGGTGATGATGGTCATAATGTGGGAGGGCAGCTGAAGGAGATCCCAGGGTCTGCTCCCACCCCCCACTGTGGAAGTTTACTGCTAACTTCTGATTATAGTGGATTTCAAATACACAAAAGTAGAGAGAAAAATGTAAGGAACGCTCATATGCCCATCAACCAGCTTCAAATGATCAACGTTTTGCCAGTCTTGTTTTATATAAAACTCCTACTCCCCACCTGCCCCTACCCTAGCTGATTGTTTGCTGGAATATTGTAGAGCAACTCTCAGACAAAATGTCACTTTACATATAAACACTCTAGTGTGCATCTCTCATTGACGACAGTTTTTTAAAATGTGACCATCGTGTACCTATCCCATGACAGAATTATCCAGTCGGGCCTCAGGACCACCGAGGCTGTCTACGCTCCAGTCCATAATGATGTTTCTCTGATTGACCCAGAGATATCTTTTTATGGTTGTTTTATTTGAATTAGCATCCAAATGAGGTCTGCACACTGCATCTGGTTTTTTTGTCTCTTCTGTCTCATTTCTCCTGTAGCAGTTCTCCTTCCCCTTCTTCCTTGATGCTATTGATTTGTTGGAAAAAACTAGGCCATTTGTCCTGTTGATTGTCTCACAGCCTAGATTTGGCTTATTCCTTCCTCATGCTGTTAGTCAACTTGTTCCTCTATGTCTTGCATTTCCTGTAACCTAATGGCTAGATCTAAAGGAGATAACCTCCGTATTGGCACTGTTCAAGAGAAATATAATATGAACCATATATGTAATTTGAGATTTTCTACTAGCCACCTTGAATAATAAGTAAAAAGAAATAGGTGAATTAATATTTATCATTTTTTATTTACTCCTATATATCTATAAAATGTCATTTTAATATGTAATCGATATCAAAATCATTAATGAGATATTTCACATTCTTTTTTCCATAGTCCATCTTCAAAACTTAGTGTGTTTTTTACACTTACAGCACATTTAGCTCATTCTCAATGTAATGGTTAGCGTGAAATACGATCCTATCAAAACAATAAAGTTGTGTTTGGAGTAAACTATTTTATACCCCTTCAGTTTTTGAATCAAAATGATTTCAAATGAAATAAAATTTAAAATTCAGTTCCTCTCAGATGCTCAGTAGCCACATGTGACTAGTGGCTATATTGGACAGTGTTCATAGAGCACATTTCCATCCCAGCAGAAAGTTCTGTTAGCTAGCACGGAGCGAGAGGCTGATGCAGAGGTGGGTGTGAGATAACGTCATGGGTGTTGCTGTATATTTGTTCTTGGTACCCCATCGTGTCCAGGGGTTCTGTTTTTCGTGACGCTGAGATTGAAGAGTGGTTCCGTGGGTGCTTCTGGACATTTTTAAAGAAAGGAGAAAAAGGACATTTTGGTGCTCTTTGTTTAGGATGAACTAGGCAGTAGGGAATAAGTGAGTCCCCAAATTGGGATAGAAGCCATTCTGGCCATTTAAGAATCATCTGAGGACACTCAGTATGATGGAGTGGTTGAAAGTCATCCTGCCTGGGTTTGAATCCTGACTGCCACTTACTAGCTCTGTGACCTTGGGCCTCTGTTTTTTCAAACACAGAGACTGAGCCTCTGTTTTTTCAAGTAGGAAATACTAGTTCTTAGCTTGTAAGGTATTGTGATGGTTAAATGAGATAATATGCCTTAAGTATACATTATGCACAGAGTAAGTATTCAATGAATATGAATTACTAGTGTTATTTTTTTATTGTAAAAATATAGGTTCCAAGGCTTAGGGGCTAGAGAATCTAATTTGTTAGGGTCTGTGGTAGGACCTGGGATCTGCATTTAAAGCAGGTTCCCCAGGTGATCCTGAGTTCTTGGACACTTCGGTCCAGATCTCTTCCTAATATTTTTCCCTGGGATGACCCTTGGCTCTGTCCTAGCCCCAAAGAAGCACATCCTGGCTGGATACCCTAGCATCCATCAGAGGACAAACAAACCCAGTAGGGCTATCAGATTTAGTGAATAAGAATCCCCTATTTTATCTGGCAACCCCAAATCCTTAATTCTTTTTTTTTTAAGATTTTATTTATTTATTTGACAGAGAGAGATCACAAGTAGGCAGAGAGGCAGGCAGAGAGAGAGGAAGGGAAGCAGGCTCCCCGCTGAGCAGAGAGACCGATGTGGGACTCGATCCCAGGACCCTGAGATCATGACCTGAGCCGAAGGCAGCGGCTTAACCCATTGAGCCACCCAGGCACCCCCAAATCCCTAATTCTGATAAAACTGTAAACTAGGCAGGAGTGGGGGGTGGGGGAGAAAAAAACCCTGTAAACTAGTATTTACAGGGGAGGTTGTTTTTGCTCTGTGGGCCTCCATTCCTGTCATATCTACCATAAGGTGCAAGAGAGGGGAGGGTGAGGACAAGAGTAACATGGTCAGGTTTTAAATGGGTCTAGAACCCATGCCTAGATTCCCTTGAGCTTTGAGGAGGCCATCTTTTGTAAAATGAAAGAAAGGGCTCAGGAGCCGTCTTTCTCAATCTGCTCATCCTGCAGGTAAGGAAACCAAGATCTGCCTGAAGGGGGAAAGTGAATTGCCCAAGGTCAGTGGCAGAGCTGCACTAAAACCTGGGCCTCCAGTTTCTGGCCCAGCATATGTTCCTCTTTGTCACTGCACAGCACTGTTTCTGTCCTCTGTCCCCTCAGTCATGGGGTGGGGAGAGGTAATACCAAGGGTAACCCGAGATCCTTCTGGTGACTCCCTAAGAGCAGTTCCTGCCCTTGTGATCCAAAGGGAAGAATGCAGTGAATAGAAGCAAAGTCGGTTCCTGGTGCTGGCTAGAAAGAACCCCAGAGATGGGTGAGGGGATCCTGCCGTATGTCCAAATGGTGGGGGTCATGGTTAGGAGCTGCACCCATGGCCTGGCCCCCACCCCAGCACCGGTGTCTTGCAGAGTGTCGGGAGGAGAGCTATTTGACTTCCTGGCCCAGAAGGAGTCGCTGAGTGAGGAAGAGGCCACCAGCTTCATCAAGCAAATCCTGGACGGTGTGAACTACCTTCATGCCAAGAAAATTGCTCACTTTGATCTCAAGGTCAGTGAGGGGATGTGGGAGAAGAATTGTCTTAGGAAGAACGGCCCTGTCCCTTCTGACATTACTGCTAGGAAGGGATCAGCGCCCCTTTGGCCATCCTCCCTCGTCTCGCCATGGAAAACTCTGAGCATCTAAGAAAAATATGATGCCTCAGGAGGCACCCTCGGTTTCATTTTGCATTATCAGGCTTTCTTCACAGAGGGGCTGGCTGTAAGAAGCTGCTTCTTCAGACCACAGGTACCTTATCTCTTTCAGACAGTAGTAGGTGGGGTGTCATTTTTAAATAGTAGACCACTGACAGGAAACGTGAAACCAAACACGTGTCACGAGGCTGGACTCTTCAGTAACCAAGAACTAACTCAGGAAGAGGCAGAAGTGTTAGCGTTCAGGTGAGCACTGCCGAGGTCGGCTGGCTGTCTGGGCCCCGCACAGCCTCCAGGGCCCCTGGCCCAGAGGTCATCAGTCTTGGAGCCTAGGGACCGCTGGCTGCCCTCCCTGTTCCCATCTCCTAACGTGGCCACAAAGCTGCTTCCAAGGGGCACTGATCATTTGTGATAACTGGTATTCAGGGTTGAGAAAGTTCACTGTGACCACATAGGAGCTCAGAAAGCAAGAATGTGGTCAAAGTAGAAGGATCAGTTCCCGTAGTAACTGAGCTCAGTTTAGTGGACGATGAGCCTTTACAGACCCCCAAAGCATAAAGATCCTCTAACCCGGGATCAGAGAGACCTATTTACCCGGGAGTGGGGTGGGGGGAAGACCTGTTCAGTTTTCTATCCAGAAAGTCCTATTGTGTTTCAAGCATTGTGCCATGTGCCTAGGTATTTCCACAGATACACAAACCAACTAAGGCCCTGTCCAGGCTCAGTTCCTCTTTTCTAGGAAACCTAGTATAGGAGACAGGAAAGAAACTCAACAACTCTTAAGTGCTGCAATAGGAGGAAGTATAGGGGAGCTGGGGAGCTCAAGGAGAGGGCATCTGAGTCAGACTGAGGTATCCCAGAGGGTTCCTGGAAGAGGTGATATTTGAGTTGAGTTTAGAAGGACTGGCAGGTTGCACTACTGGGTATTTACCCCAAAGATACAGATGTAGTGAAAAGAAGGGCCATCCGTACCCCAATGTTTATAGCAGCAATGGCCACGGTCGCCAAACTGTGGAAAGAACCAAGATGCCCTTCAACGGACAAATGGATAAGGAAGATGTGGTCCATATACACTATGGAGTATTATGCCTCCATCAGAAAGGATGAATACCCAACTTTTGTAGCAACATGGACGGGACTGGAAGAGATTATGCTGAGTGAAATAAGTCAAGCAGAGAGAGTCAAGTATCATATGGTTTCACTTATTTGTGGAACATAACAAATAGCATGGAGGACAAGGGGAGATGGAGAGGAGAAGGGAGTTGAGGGAAATTGGAAGGGGAGGTGAACCATGAGAGACTATGGACTCTGAAAAACAATCTGAGGGTTTTGAAGGGGCGGGGTGTGGGAGGTTGGGGGATTCAGGTGGTGGGTATTGGAGAGGGCACGGATTGCATGGAGCACTGGGTGTGGTGCAAAAATAATGAATACTGTTATGCTGAAAAAATAAAAAATTAAAAAAAAATTAAAAATAAAAATAAATTAAAAAAAAAAAAAAAAAAGGAAGGACTGGCAGGGGTTACCAAAGGGGAAGGGTCTTCTGAGGAAGAGAGGCTAGCAGTGTACATGGTCTGGAAAGAGCACAGTGTGTTCAGGAAAGTACAGGCAAAGAGTAGATGTTCTGAATGACTGAATGAACAAGCCAGGAGGAGAGCAGAAGGCAGACACAAGGGTGTGAGAGCTAAACCAAAGAGGTTGAACTTTACCCTGAGGGATACAGAGTAGGGAGTGGGGTGGGGGGGAACATGGAGGTGAGGTGAGCAGATGTGTGTTTCAGAAGGATCTCTCTCTGGCTGAAAGGTTGGATAGAATGGGGACAATTGGAGGCTGGGGGCCTAGCTGGGAGGCTAGTGCCCTAATCTGGTGAGGGTGTGGCCTGAGCGGGCCTTTGGCCTTCAGAGTGGTAACACTCTGAGTGGGAAACCGTCTACCTGGATTGCTCTTGTGTCTCCCTCCTGACAGTACTGAGGACAGTTAACTTGTTGTTTTCTGTGTCTTTACTGCTTCCAGGAGCCTGGCCTCACTCTTTGTCTTTTCTCTACCAGGTCTGGTAGAGGTAGGAGGAGTTGTAATCCCATAGGTACCATGACAGTAGCCCCTTCATGCTGTTTAACTTGCTTGTGTGCAGGGCTCCTGGGTGGCTCAGTCATCAAGCATCTGCCTTCAGCTCAGGTCATGATCCCCCACATGGGGCTCCCTGCTTAGTGGAAAGCCTGCTTCTCCCTCTCCCACTCCCCCTGCTTGTGTTCCCTCGCTCACTGTCTCTCTCTCTCTCTCTGTCAAATAAATAAATAAAAGAAGAAGAAGAGGAAGGAGAAGAGGAAGAAGGAGAAGAGGAAGAAGAAGAAAAGAAAAGTCTTTAACTTGCTTGTGTGGCTGCTGTGGGGAGGGGAGTGTTGTCTTGGAGGCGGCCAGGCCAGGGTTTGGTCTTCATTCTGCTGGATACCAGGATACCCCTGAGCCTCAGTCATTCAGCTTCGACGCAGGCAATAATTCCCACCTGGCACAGTTGCCGCAGGGGTTAAAGCCGACTCCCCGGTAGCACTCTGTAATAGTACCTGCCATTGTTATTTCCCCTCCCAGCAGAGAGGAAAAGAAAACACAACTCTTGTTACAGGATTTTGGGCCCATCAGACTAGGAAAACAGGCCTGCTAATGCAGTTCTCAACTGCCCAGCAGAGAGCTGAGATTGATGGCTGCTGGGGCATGTCTGGCTCCTGGGCTCAGTCTGGCTGCTTTCCACCACCTAGAGACAGTCTGGGTTGCCTCAGATGTGCGCAGGGCGAGGCTGCTGCTAACCCCTATCTTGGCTTCCTGTCCTTAGAGCTGTGCAGACGCCATGGTCCCTTGGCCCCCATCCGTGGTCCCTTGGCCCAGGCCCAGCTGAGCAACTCCAGGAAGTGATGAGTAGCTTTGTTACCTCATGATGGGGTAGACATTCCTGGAGCCAGAATATGGGTATGCATGCCCCTGGCTGGAACTTTCCACCAGCTAGAGGGGATGATGTAGAAAGTCCAGCTGGTAGCTTGGGGTGAGGTGGGGGGTGGTTCCATGTTGTTTCCCACCATCTAAAAATCATTTTTCACGGATATATTTTTCTTCCTGATTTTCATTCTCTTTGAGGTGCCTCTGCTTTCCTCAACACTTGTATTCTCTTACTCCTCACCAAGTGAGTCAGGCTAGTCTTGTGGTCCCACGAACACAGCCACCCTGTTGTCTCCAGGCCCCTACCTGTGACCTGTTCTCCACGCTCACCTTCCAGCTTGAAGGGGCAGGTGATGGAGGAGGGGCAGCTCGACGGCCTCTGGAATACGAATGGCTTCTCCTGGGACTGCTAGCCAATTAGCTCCTCCTGTTCAGTCACGGTGCTAGAGAAGCTAGAGAGGTGAGGCCCCATTCCCAGCCCCATGTCAAAGCTGACATGCTCCCAGCCTTGTGGCAGAGAACAATAAATGTACCAATTACCATATGATAAGCAGTCTTGGGAAAACAGATCAAGGCAGACTGCTGCCCAGAAATTTGTAATGGGTCGGTCCTTGTCATCTGTAGGATAAATGAACCATTGTCAGCATGACATTCAGGTCTGATTCTGACCTCATCCACCTTCCCCACCCCCCCACCCCCTCCAAAACTCTAGCCCCAGGCAGCAAGATGACAGATCCCTATTCTGGCCTCTCTCCTCCTTTGTTCATGCTGTTCCCATCCAGGAAGCTGCTGCTCCTCCTTTTCTCTGACCATAGACTTCCTTCCTGCTTGTCCTTCTAGGCCCAGCAGAAACAGCACTTCCTCTGGGAAGCCTTTCCCATCCCTGCTACCTCCCAAACCATAACTTAGAATGAACCTGCCTCTCTGATTCTGTTGCCCTTTGTACAGCCTTCTGCTGAGTATCTGTCGCTCTCACTCACTTTCTGCTGCTCATATCTAGCACCGTCGCTGACACATGAAGAATGAATGAGTAAACAAAGGGATGAATGCCTTGGTAAGACCAGATGTGTCATGGCCCTTTCATGTCACCTGGAAAATGCAAGAGAGGCTACAGGCAGGTTTTAGTCTCATGATGTGAACATTTATTGAGGGACTTTCATATGCCCAGGAATAGAGTGTCAAACATCAGTGCAATAGGGCACCTGCTTTCCAAGGGCCCACTGTCTACTAGGAGATGGCCATGGTGGGACTCAGTGGGGAGACCACCTGAAATGAAAGCTAACCATGACTCTCGCCAGCAAAATCTCACTTCCAGGGGGTAAGTGTTCTGACTCAGCAGAGGGAATACCATGCCAGTGTGTGTTGTAAATATACCCCAGAAAGGCCCATTGATGTGGGTGGTTGTAGGTGGTGAAGGTAGATGATGTTGCCTTGTGTTTGCCTGTTTGGAAGGAACCCTAGGGCTGACTGCCCCTCAGTACCACCTAGCACCTGGTGTGCCTTCAGACATGGCGTCTGCATGGTGGCTTACCCTCAGTACTGCCCGGAAACCTCACCCTGGCATGCCATCCCAGCACAAATGAAGGTCTTGTAGAAGGCAGGTTTGTGTGGTTTTGTGTTTATTTTAGATTTGGGAGTTTCCCTTCTGAGTATGGGTGTGTCTCCCCTACACCCCAAACCAGCTGGAGAATTCAAAAATGGAAGGTCGTCTTCAGGTCTGACTGGTATTTTCAGCAAAAAGAACACGCCATGAGGACTGAATGAAATTATATGCAAGCCAGGAACCTAGAACTCTCATGGGGCTTTTGGTTTATATAAATAGCATTAAGAAGTGAATTTTGAATTTGTAAACAAAGTACCCAAAATCCAAATTCCTCAATGCTCTGATCATCCTTTGAGCTATTTTTTACGTTCGTGACATGATGGGGTCTG